TCCACGCCTCGTCACGAGCACAGCGTAGACGCCTAGCTCGACTCCACGCTAGTGACTGCGCCCACCAGCTACGTTGACCTCGGGATACCACCCCCGAAGTCGGCCTCGCAGAACCACCCCTGGCGACCTTCGCATCCTTCCGCAGAAGTCCGTCGCCCGGGTATCCCGGTCGACCGGGCAACCAGGTCGCCACTGTCAGGTCGGCGTCCTCCCTGGTCGGCGTCCCCCTCGTCGACCACTTCGGGACTAGGCTGTCGACTTCACCAAGTCGTCGACCACCCAAGGTCGGCGCCCTCCACCCCGGCGCCTTGCTGCTCGACGTCCAGCTGCTCGGCATCCTGCTCCTCGACGCCCTCTAGCTCGACGTCCCCAATCTCCAATGTCGAGGTCGACGTCGGCCCCTTCGTCGTCGACCACCACGTTCGTCGACTTCCTGGTCGACCACCCCACAATAGGTGCCCTGAAGTCGGCGCCCATCGCAGTGGTCCCTGTGCAGGTCGACCTCCTCGTCGACCAGCTCGCCCACTGCTGCAGGTCAGCTGCACTCCCCTGTACACCCGACCACGAGGTCGGCTCCGCCCAAGCAAGGACGGGGCCACACCCAACTCCCGTTGACATCCACGCCTTGTCACGAGCACAGTGCAGACGCCTAGCAGACTCCATGCTAGCGACTACGCCTACCAGCCACGTTGACCTCGGGATACCACCCGTGAGGTCGGCCTTTCAGAAGCCACCCCGGCGACCTTCGCATGCTTCCGCAGAAGTCTGTCGCCCGGGTAACATGGTCGACCGGACAACCAGGTCGATGCCGTCAGGTCGGCATCCTCCCGGGTCGGCGTCCCCTCGTCGATCACTACGGGACTAGGCCGCCGACTTCGCCAAGTCGTCGGCCACCCAAGGTCGGTGCCCTCCATCCCGGCGCCCTGCTGCTCAACGCCCAGCTGCTCGGTGTTGGATGCACGTTATTCCGAGTGCATGTCATCTTAACGTCCTACCAGAGTGCTCGTGCTATTTGTGCTTACATGATTTGCATGAGCATATGTCATTATGCATGGCTGTTGGATTTGATAATCTTTTTTTTTTTCTCCAAGTCTACATGCTTGATCATGTAGGAGAAATTCAGAGCTTTTCAATGATACCAAGATCGCCTTATTCCGACCAAGATCGCCCATGTTACAAGATTTCCAAGATTTGGGTGATATTGGGACATGAATATAAAGGGATCTTTGGTTGGGTGGTTAGGATGGCAACTTTGACTTTTGGGTTGGGGTGGCTAAAAGTTTCTAGCATGGGTTGAAAATGTTGCAACACCTAGGCAAAATCCAATTAGATTGGATTTTGCATGTGACACCTCAAGGACCTCATGATGAGGGTTGCATCCTTGCTACTAGGAAGGTTCCTACCATCCTTCCCTAGCTCTTGGAGAACCCCTTCCCTCTCATGGTTCTCTTGGAGTCCCCAACTCCAACTTTCGATGCCTTAATGCTTGTACTTCCTCCACTATTCTAGTCATGCGGCTGCTGGACGTTATTACTTGGTTCTCACTCTATAAACCATCTTAACAACTGATACTACTTGGAGATGGTAGCTAAGCCTAAGGCGCACAATCCTATCGAGCAGATTTGCGTTTAGTTGAGAATTAAGTTCGTCAAAAGCTCTCAAAGTGACGGATCCTGAACAACACTCGGCATCCCACTCGACGCCCTCCAGCTCGACCTCCCCAGTTTCCCCTGTCAAGGTCGACGTCGGCCCCTCCTTCAGTGACCACCAGGCTCGGTCGACCTCCTGGTCGACCACCCCAAACTAGGCGCCCAGAAGTCGGCGCCCGTCGCAGTGGCCCCCGTGCAGGTCAACCTCCTCGTCCACCAACTCGCCCACAGCTGTCGGTCGGCTGCACTCCCCCGTACACCTGACCACGAGGTCGGCTCCGCCCAAGCGAGGACGGGGCCACACCGAACTCCCGTTGACACTCCCCTGCCACGTTCATGCTTGGGACCACCGCCCACACACAGCATTACAGCTCAGAGAATAGCCCGTCGGCGTGCAAACAACACTCAACATGCCAGTCACTACATCAGCCATGCAAGAGGGCATGGCACCTATTGTTGCATATCATCGTCGCTGTCGCCCATGTCGGCTAGGCGCACTTCGCTGATTGCAACAGAGTACTGGTTGAAGGCCGGATAGTGCAGCGCCGTTGTCAGGAAGTCGACCAGCTGCTCGGCGGTCGGGATGTACTTCAGCAAAAACATCCCGCGCCTCACCATGTGCTGCAGCCAGGCTTGTCGCCGCTCCATGTGCTTGAGGTTGTCCGTCAACCCTATGTCCTCGGCGACCGTGACGGCCAACTTGTTGTCCACACGTAGGACCGTCGGCGTCCCGACGTCAAGCTGCCGGAACTCTGTGAGGAGGAAGCGAAGGCGGCGTCCCTCCTTGCCGGCTTCAGTGGCCGCCACGTACTCCGATTCGGTCGACGACAGCGTCGCACACTTGATGCGCTGGCTCGACCAGGAGACTGCGGTCCCTCCGTAGACGAACACGTAGCCGCCCGTGCTCGTCCTCTTCTGCTTGTCCCCGGCGCCATCGGCGTCCATATAGCCGACCAGCTCTAGCGACTCTAGTCCACCGCCAAGCTCCAGGGCGGTGTCGCGGGTGTTGGCGAGGTAGGCGAGGCAGCGGTCGACCTCGCGCTAGAGCTGGGCGCTCCTCACCGTGAGGCCGCTCCCAAGCTTGTTGCAGGCAAAGGCGATGTCCGGCCTCGTCGTCGCCACCGCGAACTGCAGCGAGCCGACCTTCTGCCAGTACTCCTCCTCCTGGCGTTCCTGCGCCTCCTCGTCGTTGATGGTGAGCTCGGCGTAGGCGTCGACCGAGACCGGCGTTTTCGGGGTGCGCCCGGTCTGCTCCTCGTCGATGAACTGCCTACACAGCTTGTCGGCATAGCCCTGCTGATGGAGCTACAGCTTCCCTGCCGACCTGTCGCGGACGATCTCCAGCCCGAGGTACTTCTGCACCGGCGAGATCTTGCACAGCTCGAAGGCGGTCTCCAGTAGCTCCTTCAGATCCTTCAGCATCGCGGTGCTGCCGCTGGCGGCGAGCAGGTTGTCGACGTAGACCAGCACTCAGCAGGCCACTTCGTCAGCGCCGACCTTGAAGTAAAAAGCCTCGTCGACCTGGCTCTTCTTCCCCCCAGCACCGACTAGCACGTTGTTGAGCGCCTTGTACCATAGCAGCGGCGACTGCTTCAGCCCGTAGAGGCTCTTCAGCAGCATGCACACCCGGCCGGTCCTGTTGTTGAAGTAGTCCGGCTGGTACATGTATAGCACCCAGTCGATCTTGCTCTGCAGGAAGGCGTTCTTCATGTCGAGCTGCATCAGGTTGAGGTTGAGGACAGTGACGATGCTGAGGAAGATCCTCAGCATAACGTAGCTGCTCACCGGCGTGTACGTCTCGTTGTAGTCGGCGCCATATACCTGTGTGAAGCCCTTCACGACCAGCCTTGCCTTCTCGCGCTCGACGGTGCCGTCGATGTGGTACTTCGTCATCAACACCCCAGGTGGACGTTCAACCAGCTCCCAAGTTCCTATGCTGATGAGGCTGCGGATCTCCTCCTCCATGGTGGCTTTCACCGCCTTGCCCTTCCAGCTCGCCAGTGCCTCCTTCACCGTCATCGCCGCGATCTCCCAATGGTGCTCGGGGTCGGCGTGCATGTTGGGGTCGAGCTTGGGCAGGTCATCTTGGTCCTCGGTGTAGTCTTACGCCAAGTCGTCGTCGTCGATGTCGTACACCGTGGTGAAGGCAGCGGGGACGAAGAAGTCGAGTGGCCTCCGAATTCGGCCTAACGTTGGAGGCCCACGCTGAACCTCCACCACGTCGCAGTCGGTGGACTCCTGGGCGTCCCCGCCTTCGTCACCGGCTTTGCTGCCCTCGGCGTCCTGCTGCACCATGGTCGGCATCCCAGCCGACTTCTCCCCTGTAGTCAGCTCCTCTGCCGACTACCTGGTTGCCAACTGCTCCGTGGTCGGCTTCACCGCTATCTGCTCCCCTATCGGCTGCTGCCCGGCTGGTGCCTTCTTCGCCAGCTTCACCCAAGTCGGCTGCACCTCCTCGGCCTGCTCCTCCCCTCTCAACGTCGACTTTGCTCCCACGTTGACTTGCTGCTCGTCACGTCGGCCACCGGCGATGCTCTTGGCTGGCGCCGAAGGCGACGTCCCACTTCTCCCCTCATCGCATGAGGCCGACACCGGAGTCAGCCTGCGTTGGTCAGCCACGAGGGGAGGGGTAGGGGGTGCAGGGGGAGGGGAAGGAGGACGGACGACCTCGGCGTCCTCATCAGCAAGCTCACCGACCTCGGCGAGTAGAGGACGCGTCATTGTCGAGGTGTCTGTCGCCGAGGTGGTCGGCATCCGTCCCGAGGCCGGCCCGTGCTCCAACTTCCACACCTCCAACGACATGTTCTCATAGAACACCACGTCCGACATGGTGACCACCCGGTTGTCGGCAATGTCGAGGAGCTTCTGTCACAATACGATCTTAACTTAGGAACCGGGTTTAGGGCCTAGGCTTCTAAGCCTAGGCCAAGCGGGTGACGAGGGTCGAGGCCAAGGGAGTAGCGAGAGTGGTTGAAGGTTCACTATAGCACACTAGTACATATAGCAACCTAACAAAGGTGAAAGAGGTGCACCACCATACAAGGGAATTACACAATAGCTACACTACAGGCAGATTATACTAAATAGATATAAATCTATTGTGACACACCCCCTATCTGCCTGAAGTGCATAACCATGTGCAGAGCCCCCCTTGAAGGGGTACACCTGTAAAACCCCATTACAGGGCGTGGGAACACCAGCAAGGGGCCCCCTCTGAAGCTGACAAGCAGCAACCACCAAGCAGCATCTGAACCACCGCGGTGGAACAGGTGCCCGGCTGCGGTTGAACGCCCCGCAGCTGGTGCACGGGGTGCGAGGAGCACGGGTACGGGTAGCGGGTTCGGGTAGCAACTAGGTGCTGTACGGGACGGGCCGCACGGGGGTGACGGGCAGCACGAGACCGGGCAGCACAGACCGGGTGGGGCACGAGCGAGAACTGACAGCACGGGTGGGGCACCAACGGGTACGGACAGCACGGGTAGGACACAAACGGGCAGAACGGGGCAGCACGGGCAGAACAGGCCAACACGGGCAGAACGGGGCAGGACACGGCCTGAACGGGGCAGGACACGGGCTGAGCAGGGCAACACGGGCAGAACGGGGCAACACGGGGACAACGGGGCAGCACAGGCAGAACGGGGCAGCACAAGGGCTGAACGGGGCAGCACGGGGAGAGCAGGGCAGCACGGGAGCACGGGGGCAGCACGGGAGCACGGGGGCAGCACGGGGGCAGCATGGGAACACGGGGGCAGCACGGGAACACGAGGTAGCACGGGCAGAACGGGGCAGCACGGGCACTGACAGCACGGGTGGTACAGGTGGGGCACGCACGGGAACAAACAGCACGGGTAGAGCACGAGCAGAAGCACAGGGACACGGGCAGACAGCACGGGCACGGGCACGGGGCAAGCACGGGGAAGTACGGGCAATACGGGACAGCACAGGACCACGGGGCAGCACGAGAAGCACAAGAAGCATGAGTAGCACAGGATCACGGGAGCACAGGAGGTGCACGGTCAGTATGGCACGGGAATGGGCAGCAACACGGGCAGGATCACAGGCAAAATCACGGGCAGAATCACGGTCAGGATCACGGGCAGAACACGGGCAAAATACGGGCAACACACGGGTATAATCACGGGCACAATCACGGGCAGCAGTACGGGCAGAACGGGTGGAACGGGTGGGGCACAACTGGGTACGGACAGCACGGGTGTAACAGGTGGGGCACGACTGGGTACGGACAGCATGGGTGTAACGGGTGGGGCACAATCAGGTACGGACAGCACGGGTGGGGCACAGGAACGACGGGGTAGCAGCACGGGAGACACGGGGCGGGGGAATGACAGGAGGAGGTGTGGTGGCAGTTGCTGCAGCTGGAACATCCACCCACACCCCCTGAACCTCCCCCCCACAGCAGCAACAGCGGCAGAGAGAGAGAGGAGGAGGCGTGGCGACAATTGCTGCAGTTTGATCACCCCCTCCATGTCACTCCCCCCCCAACAGCTGCAGTCGCGGTAGTGAAGGCGACGGGGAGGGGGGGAAGGGAAGACGGACGGGCGGTAGGCGTTGGCGGCAGTTCTGGCGCTTGCGCTGGCGTTCACTGCTGACAGCCGCCCACCACCCCTTTCCCCCACGCCTCCCCCACCCCCCCACATGAGCCGCCAACCCCGCCACTCCCGCAACTCCCGCCATTCCCGCCGCCGCCGCCCCCACTGTCCTCCACACCCACCACCGCCCAACACGGCATAGGCAGGCGCGGTAGAGGGGGAAGGCGCGACGAGGAAGGGACAAGGAGGGGCAGGGACAGTGCGGGTACGGGACGAAACGGCAGTTGCTGACGCGGCAGATGCAGGCGGGGCAGGGACGGGTCGTGCAGATGCGGGTGGCGTACGGGAGATGGGCGGGGTGCGAGCTGGCTGGCGCGTCGGTTGAGCCGCCAATCCCTTCCCGTCCTCCCTCTCCCACCCACAGCGACCGCCGCTGCACACGTGGACAGTTGCGACGGGGGGGGGAGACGGGCAGGCGGCCGGGTACAGGTGGGGCATCGGGTTCCGGGTGGGGCGGCGGGAACGGGACGAAACGGTAGTAGCTGGCGCGGCAGATGCAAGCGGGGCAGGAACGGGTCGTGCGGGTGCGGGTCGCGGGTCGCAGGCGGGCTTGCTGGCGCTCTCGTTGGCGGGTCCGACGGCGGGTCCGTCGGCGGGCCCTGTGACGAGCCCGTCGGCGGGTCCGTCGACGGGCTTGCGGGTCCGCGGATCCGCTGTCTCTCTTGCTCGCGGGTCCGCAGGTGAACTGGGGGGGCCGTAACGGTGGGGCGCGACGAGCGCCCTCGCGCAGCTCGTCGTCGCTAGCGCAGCAGCAGCGGGACCTCGAGCCGGTGGGGCGACGGGCGAGCGACGGGCCAGCGATGCACGTAACGGGCTGCGCAACGACCTGATCGACGGGGCGCGTCATATCGACAGCTGGTGGTGGGCCATTCACCTAGGAGTAGGATCTTAGTAGCTCTGATACCATATTACAATACGATCTTAACTTAGGAACCGGGTTTAGGGCCTAGGCTTAGAAGCCTAGGCCAAGCGGGTGACGAGGGTCGAGGCCAAGGGAGTAGCGAGAGTGGTTGAAGGTTCACTATAGCACACGAGTACATATAGCAACCTAACAAAGGTGAAAGAGGTGCACCACCATACAAGGGAATTACACAACAGCTACACTACAGGCAGATTATACTAAATAGATATAAATCTATTGTGACAGCTTCCAGCCCATCTCTCCTCCGACACGCTGAGGTGAAGGCCCCACCTAGCCTTCGGCTTCAATTTCCCACCACGTTGCTGCTCGGGGACCAAAAATTGTGCCATGCAGGCCCACACCCGCGCCAGTGACAAGTCGGGGTTCTTCTCGGTCAGCACCTGGTACGGTGTAGTCCCCGGCGGCAGCGTCAACCTCTCAAGGCAGTTGCGGACCCAGACGGCCTGCCTCAGAGGGAGGTGCCACCAGTGGTGCTGAACGCCCATATGCAGCAGCATTGTCCGCACCGACTCCACCACCGTCCTCATCTCCCTCTCCGCCATGCCGTTCTGCTGCGGGGAGTACAGGCACGTCAGGTCGTGGACGATCCCCTTGCCGTTCACGAAGTCGGTGAACTGCTTCCCGACGAACTCCCCTCCCTGGTCAGAGCGCAACATCAACATCGACTTCTTCGTCTGTCGCTCTGCCACCGCCAGCCACTGCACGAACTCCTGCAGCGCATCCGACTTCTTGGCGACCATCCTCACCCATACATTGCGGGTCTTGCGGTCCTTCAGCAGCAAGAAGTACAGGCTGCCATCCTTGGCAGCCACCCGGATTGGTCCGCACAGGTCGATGCGAACGACGGCCCGCACGTCGTTGGCGTAGGAGCCCTGGTCGGGGAAGGTGTGCCGCGCCAGCTTCCCGCCGACACACGAGACACACGGTGAGTCGGCGCCCGACGCCGACTTGAGGTCCAGCCCAGTGGCGACCTCGTGCTTTGCCGAGCTCCGTATGGTGTCCATGCCGACGTGCGCAAGCCTCGCATGTAGCCTGTCCGGGGTCGACTTCGTCGCCGAGATGATCGCCCGTAGGGCCATGACCTCCGTCGGGGGCGTTGTCGACCTCGTCGAGCAGGGACGCAGGTCGGTGCAGAGGACTCGCCTGGTGTAGGACGGCCAACCAAGGACGTCTCCCGTTGCCAAGACAAGCAACATCACGTCGCTGTCCTCCTGCAGCTTCACGCATTTCTCCTTCAGCTGGCCGGCCGAACGCAGGTTCGCTCGCACGCCCGGGACGTAGAGCACATCGGGGATGAGCACCTGCTTCCCGGCCTCCCCTTGCAGAGTGACAGTGCCACGGCCCTGGACGTCCTGCAGCGCCCCATTGAAGCCACGGACGTGCTTGACGTCGCCGCTCGGCTGCAGGTCGACGAAGACCTCCTTCGTCCCATCAGGTGGTGGGAGCAGCCGCTGTCGAGCAGGACCACCGACGGGTTCACCTGCACAGGTGCCGCCATCGCCTAGAATTCCTCGCCGGCCTCTGGCGCGAACGAGACGGTCAGCTCCACGACGCCGACCAACGAGCACGATGCCGCTTTGTCGTCTCGCCCCTTGCCGCCAGCAGAGGAGTCGGCGTCCTTCGCCGAGGTCGACTTGGTCGACTGTTTCTCCTTGCGCGGCTTGTTTCCTCCTCGGCGGAGACGATGGCTGCCAGACCTCCAGTGGCCTCCCTTTGCGTCATCGTCGTTGGAGTTGCTGCGGTCGGGGCACTCGAAGGAGAGGTGGTCGGGGTCGCCGCACAGCCAGCACTCCCGACGTCGACTTCCTCCTCCACGACCGTTCTCCTTCGCCGACTTCTTCTTGTCGGTGTCTCTGGTCAGCCTACCACCACTGCTTCTACTGCCGCCAGCCTGCCCACGTTGCCCTGGTCGGCCAACTTGCTTCGCCGGGGCGACGTAGTTCACCTGTGCCAGGAGCTTCTGGGACCGCTCAGCTTCCTACATCGCCTCGTCCTGGAGGATGTACGAGGTCAAGGTGTACTTGTTGAGCGTCTCCCGCGTGCTCGGCGCCATCGACAGCCGCTTTAGCAGGTAGGAGCTGCTCAGGAGTCCCTGCATGATGTGTGTGACGTACGACGCCATCGATTACTGCGCGCCGGCCATCCTTATGGTGGTGAGAATTCGCCAAGCTTGGATGCAGTAGTCGGTCGCAGTCTCTTGGTCGCCCATACGCATGTGTGTCAGCTGCCCCTCAAGCTGGGTGATCAACAAGTCGTCGGTGACCTGGTACGTCAACTCGATGAAGTGCCACGCCCGGTGGCCGGCGTCGAGGTACTCCCTGCACGACTTCAAGGCGATCTGCATGCCCGGCGAGCAGCACCGCGAGATGACCGTGAAGGTCTGCAGCTGCACGGCACGAAACTCTGCACGCAGGTCAGGGTAGATCTCCTCTGGCGTCGCCACGGTGCCACGGGTGAAGCCGATCAGCCCGGCCATCTCTACGTGGGGCTCGATGGCTTCCTTCCAGGTGAGAATGTCCGGTCAACCAACGAGCGGAGGGGTGGCCAAGATCCTGTTCGGCGTAAACTTGAAGTAGCTGTAGCTCGGTACTATCCCGCCCGCGGTCACGTGGGTCGCTGACATTGGCGACAATCCGCTTCGACGTCCTCCGACGTTGCCCTGTGAGGAGCCTACAGCCGCCGACGACTGCATCCCTCACACCTGAACGCCGCCGACTTCATCGGCGTGAATCACACCTCGCTGCCTTGACGTGCCTCCCGCACTACTGCTGACTTGGCGACCACCGGCGTTGACGCCCGCGTCAACGACGCCCTCAGGGTTCACCGGTTGAGGAGATGCAGGCCGAGAAGGAGGATGCTTCGTCGCCCACTGAGCGTGGATGCCAGCCTCGACGACCGCCCAGGGCATGTCGTCATACTCGTTGGCCTCGTGCCGTCTCCTCTCGTTCTCCAGTTGGGTGTCCACCACCCCTGCGTCACCTACGGCGCCTACCATGGTGACTAACGCACAATTGCCGGACTCGATAGGTAAGTGCAAAGTCGGCTAGCCTGAACTACGTCGCGTGCCGTTTGTGCTCACCGCGCCATGCGGAGATAACTCTATCAACAGGAGCTAGACTACGAACTAGGCACGGGGTAGGAGGGATCTCTATGTTTGTTCACTTAGTTGTTTCCAAGTGCTCACACTACTTGCTAGTTCATGGGGGAAATTGGCAAGAGTTTCACTAGGAAAGTTGACAACAATGATGGTAACAACATTGGCATCACAGACTACACCAGAGCTAACTAGGCTGCTGGTAGACCTCCAGCGCAGCATGGTCGACCACACTCCAGCGCAGCAGTGCTCGCACCGCTCCAGCGTTGCAGAGTAGCGGTTCGCTAACGTTGTAAGTCCATGGTGTGCCAACGCTGCAGCAAGTTGGCTGCACAGCGTTGCACCTGCAGAACAACGGTGCATCTGTTTTGCAGGTGCGTGCGGCTGGTTGGTGCTCCACGCCTTGTCACGAGCACAGCGCAGACGCCTGATAGACTCCATGCTAGTGACTGCGCCCACCAGCCACGTCGACCTCAGGATACTACCCCCGAGGTCAGCCTCGCAGAAACCACCCCCGGCGACCTTCGCATGCTTCCGCAGAAGTCCGTCGCCTGGGTAACACGGTCGATCGGACAACCAGGTCGATGTCGTCAGGTCGGCATCCTCCCAGGTCGGCGCCCCCTCGTCGACCACTACGGGACTAGGCCGCCGACTTCGCCAAGTCGTTGGCCACACAAGGTCGGTGCCCTCCACCCGGGCGCCCTGCTGCTTGACGCCCTCCAGCTCGACATCCCCAGTTTCCCCTGTCAAGGTCGACGTCGGCCCCTCCTTCGTCGACCACCAGGTTCGATTGACCTCCTGGTCGACCACCCCAAACCAGGCGCCCAGAAGTCGGCGCCCGTCGCAGTGACCCCCGTGCAGGTCGACCTCCTCGTCGACCAGCTCGCCCACAGCTGTCGGTCGGCTGCACTCCCCCGTACACCCGACCACGAGGTCGGCTCCACCCAAGCGAGGACGGGGCCACACCCAACTCCCGTTGACACCGTGCGCCGGACGTACGGGCAACGACCATTACCCCAAGAGGAGCTACGCTGAACAACCCACTTAGGAAGCTGCTGGGGCGTGAGTGGCTCCTGCTGGCGTGAGTGGTGGTACTGTCCACCCCCAGTGCCTCCACCGCCACGAGCTGCACCCCTAGAGCCTCCGCTGCCGAGCTGCACCCTTAGTCGCCGTCCCAGAGCCTCCACGCTTTCCGCTCCACCCTATCGCCACCTGAGCCCCCTCCGTTCACCCCACCGCCTCCACCACCCCCGCCACCTCCACCGCCGCTACCACCGCCTCCACCGCCGCCACCACCACCGCCACCACCCCAACCCTAAACCTCCACTAGCACTACCCCCACCATCCTTATCCCCTTTGCCCTTGCCACTGCGGTGCCTCCCACTAGGAGCAGACGCAGCACCGACCTCCTCAGCACGAAGG